TGCCTCATTTGTCAACAGACAAGGCGTCATTGTTGCATCAGCTCACAAATTTTAAGTCAAAATGACTAGCTGTACATAAACCAGCATGATGAGAGAACTGTAATGACACAAACAAGGAGTGAGAACATTTATTTGACCTGACCTTGAGGTGGACCCCCGTCCCAGCAGACTGAGACGGTGGGCTTGAGACCTCCATTGCAGCTGGTCAGTGGAGGGAGCTCTAAATGTTTGGCTTCACTGTTCTGGAGCTGCCATGTTGTCCACCTTTACATAAAGTCTCTGTGTGAGGCCCAAACCCATCATCATTGATAAAAAAAAAAAGCTTGAAATCCTTCTCACAGTGTCAAATGTCAGGTTGTTGTTGATCTAACTAGCCATGAGAGAGAGAGATGTGGTCAAAAAGGCGGGGGGGGGGGGGGGGGGGGGGGGGCTTTAGCTCTGTCATATAAGACCTGGCTGACCTTGTGGCTGAATTTCATATTGACACAGAAATGACAGGCAGGGACATACAAAGTTAGTGCTTTGGCTAGAAGAGTCTGCATGTTATGATAAAGAAGTCACATGATCAGAAGGTCCAAACAAAACTGTTCAGTCTCATCGTACACTGAGGAGTTCTAGGCTGATTCAAAGTGCCCAGGAAGAGTTTCACTAGAAGACAGTTAGTGCTTGTCTCATTCTCTTCTACTATCCTGTAGTGACTCTAAACTTAGACTCTGACAAGTGCACAATCATTTTGGTCTAGTTTTACATCAGCTTTGGCCCCTGACCCCCAAAATACAAGCCTCTATCTGGGGCGCATGATGAACTCCCCTCCGTGTGGAGGGAAAAGAGGATTGTGAGGCCAGTTTCAGACCTCACATCTATGACATTCCTAAACGTAGATATTCAAGCTTTACAGAGAAGTGCTAGAGATCCAGATAGTGACTTGAATGCTTTAGGATGAGAATATTTTAATTTAATTTTATGTTTGTGCTGCTGACTCAGTCCACACATGATTACATCTCAGAGCCTGAGGAGCTACCTGTAGTAACAAGTCTGAAACCAATCCCATTACCAGGATGCCTACAAGTAAAATCTAAGTTTACACCTCAGAGGGGGCATGACTAATCAGTCCTTCATTTTTGAATATGACTGTCAGTGAATTCAGGGCGCTGAGATTTCCACTTGAAAAACCATCCTTCTCTGTTTCTGTGGAGTCAGTGATTTAGCTCTGGGGGGGTCTGTGTTGATGTAGCACCTCCTGTGGACAAAGCAGTGCCTCTGATCTCTTAGCTGTGTTTTTCTCCTGAACATGTGTCTGCAGTGTTTTCATTTCAGTTCAAAATCCCTCCCCTGAAAATAGTCCTTCAAAGTCTGTATCTACAGTGAACTGTTGATCCCGCCCACATCTGCAGATTCAACAAACTAGTAACCTGAGGAGTTCAACCTCAGTGGTGACATTGTCAAATCTGCCTGTCTATTGAATGACCGTCTGCCCACAAAGACAGTCCTGTTCAGAAATGTGCACTTCTTGTGTGCTGTGTGCTTGTCTTCTGCTGTTACTGTGCTGCCAACTGCTTACTCCATAGCTGAGGACCAATTCACCTAGACTCTCTAAGTCTTTCCAATCCATCCAGCAATCCTCAAGCTTTACTTCCTCCATATAGTTCACCAGTGTTTTCATGAAGTACGTTGTTATGACCTATGACCCATTACAGTATCATTAACATAAACACAACATTTCAGAAATCTGGGGGTGCCCAAGTTTACACAGCGAAAGTTTCTCACAGGAGCTTTGAATTTGGAGACTGGTTTCCCACCTGTATCTGTCAGCTTTGTTTCACTGCGGTGAAAGAGAGTGAAAGGATACTGCAGAAACTGTTAACAAGGGAAACACTTTGGATATCAAAGCATGCTGGTCCCAGTTTGTAGTCGTAGTCATATCAACCAATCATGCCAGTGTCATGGTGGGAAACAATCTGGCAGTTTTAAGGAAAGTCAATGAGAGGCAGCAGCTGAAATATGATTTAAAAACAAAGCATAATACTTTTTGGGATTTGATTCATCTGACAAGGTTTCTTATCTGGATCCTCATAGAGTTGAAGATCAAGCCATGGCCCCCATTCATGCCTTCTGAATGTCACTGTGGTCCTGAGTGTTTGCCTGAATGTGAATATCTCGGTCAGAATTAGACCCACTAAGTTTCACCAGCTCATTACCTAAAACCCAGGATCATTTATGCAGCAGAATGAGACAAGCAGAACTTCTAAAGTCCAGTGGTATTTCAAGTAGGGGCCTCAGTGCTGTAAACTCAGAGGTATTTAGACGCAGTCATAGTTTTCTTTTAGAGTTAGCCCTTGATTTGTTCCTGACATGTTGATTTTGCCTTGTGTACAACAACATGAAACCTGACAACCTGATGAAGAAGAATAACTCTCTGTTTTGATGCCAAATCCATGACCTGGAGTGACCTGAATGTATGCACAGACAGTTCAACATCCCTTCAGAGCGCCTCTGGATTCTCTCACTCATGTTTAATGTTATTTATTGAGACAGGAGGGCACAGATGGATGTTTCCGCTGCTGTCTGCTATACGTACTGTAGATACAGTGTGTGTGTGTGTGTGTGTGCATACATGCCGGTCAGGTAACACTACAGCCTTATACAGCCACCAACACGAGACAGTCTGTGAGTTGTGTGTTTGTTATTGTAAGAGACTCTTCCATAACTATCCATAGCTGGTTCCTGCTTGAACAGAAAATGACATGAATATAATGTGTATATAGAAATGCAAGGTAAAGTACTTTTTACTATGTAATAAATATCATGTAAAGAAAGTGCTCATCGTGTCTCTGTGTGGGCTTTGAGTGTTGAAATGACAGTTTTTCACTCTTTACTGACACAGGGCTTTTGTCAAACCCAGAGGCTCCCCAGGTGGAGGTTGGACCGCCTCAGGGGGTCGTGGGGACCCTTCAGACAGGTTTGGAGAGTGTTAGGGAGTGCAGGACTATTGTTTGACATTGGAAACATTTGCACAGGTGTTTGCCATGGTGCTTTTTTAACCCAGAGAGATATTTCAACCAATCAATCAATCAATCTTTTTTTTTATTAAGCACCAACTTACTAAGAGAGTGATCCAAAAACCCGGTCTAGACCAGACTCTCTTTACAAAGACCCAAAGACTGGATCAGACTAAGCCTCGTCCTGTAAGATCAGACCCACTCCCATCCCCTAACCCTTAACCACATGAGTGAAAAACTTAACAGCATTTATCAAGTTACAGTAGAGAGGAAGAACCTTCTTTAACAGGAAGAAACCTCGAGCAGAACCAGACTGATGTAAGACAGTCATCTGCTGAGACTGAGCTGTGTTTAGAGAGGGAATAGAAAGAGATATGGACAGAGAAGAGACTGATAGAGGGAGATGGAGAAAGAGAGACAGATGGACAGAGGAGAGACTAATAGAGGGAGATGAAGTCTTAATTTGATTTTGGAAAATGACAGTCAGTGGGTTTGTAGAAACAGTAATATCCAAAGTGAAAATCACACAAACTCTTCCAAACTAATAGGACAGGTGAGACTAATAGCTCAGAACGTGTGACCAAGCCTTGTTGCTCTTGGGACTGCTGTGTACATGAGTCTGTAAATGTAGGACAGCCGACTGTGAGAGACCCAAACCTGTTCCAGCCCTGTCCCACAAATGAATCCATCAAGTTTGCTCCCCAAAAACTTAGTGAATATCTTAGGAGGTTTCAGTCAGACATCCAGAAGTCACTGCTTCATACAGAGTCCCATGGCCCCCTCTCTGAGACAGTGACTGTAGGTGATGCTGTCTTTTAGTATAAAGAGCAGGTTAGTTAAAACGTTCTTTTCTTATTTTGAAATCGCTCATAGACCGAGTGATGGGTGTCAGAAACAATATTTAAACCTGTTTTGATAACAGGCCAACTAAAGTGGAATTCTTTTGTGTCTTAGCTCAATGTTTCAGGGAGCACCAGTCCACTTCACGACTCATAACTTTATATATTTGATGAATACAAACAATCCTCTGGTGCCACAAAGCCGAAGCTGCAGTCTGAGAAGCTGCAGAGATCTCCTCTCTGATATTATAACTCTTCAAGACAATCTAACTGCAGGCCTCCACTGAGAGGATTGGAAGTTGTTTGAAACCTTTTAAAATAAAAGTGAATATATCAGGAGTTTGTATTTTTTTTTGTCTCGTGTGAATATACTCTATTTCTTGGGGCTTTATTTTATGTATGTATTATGTAAAGAAATACAAAACGGGGTGACCATTTCCAACAAACCAGAGCGCCTGAGAAGATATGTCACTTTGGGTCCCCTCAGTGGAGGTTTGCAGCCATACCCCTTTGAACTCTTAGATAAACCATATTTTTACATGTCTGATAACAGCTGTTCTTTAGTACCCCTTTGACAGAGATGGTTTGAAGACCTCTGGATAAGTTTAATCAGATACTCTGGAAAATCAAGGCAAAAGTCTTAAGGACTGATGTGATGTATATACTGCTGATAAACCCTTATTAATGTGCTATAGGTGGGACCTCAAACAGTGCTGCCCCTCTTAATAAGGGATGCTGCTGCTGTAGCCTGTTTGTCGAACCTCATCTGAATCACTTAGTCAGCTCTCTGTGAACCTTTGAAGGTTGTTTGGAAACACAAAATTACTAAAGAGCCGGGTTAGTCTGGCAGAAGAAAACCTACCTTTAAACAGCCTTGTGTTACCTGCTTACAACACTTTACGAACATGAGTCTTTGGACTTCCTTGAAGGATGATTATATCTATCTATCTATCTATCTTTATATATATTTCTTAATGTATATTTCTTTATGTATATTCTTAATGTTATATGTTATATATATATGTATATATATATACACGCATCAGGTGTTCATATCTTCTCATCCCTATGTGTGCTCACATCACAGACAGATCTGAGTAGTCACAGTTCTTGACTCCTTAAACCCAGAAAGCAGAAAGAAGCAGAGGAGTCGGGGGGGAAAGAGGTTAAGAGGTCTCAGGTGTAAAACATTAGAGTTTTTATTTCAAAGCAGAATGAGAACCACACTCTTTTTTTTTTTTTTTTTAGTAAACTAAATGTATCAGAAACTACAGAGGCAGGAGAAAAGAAAGGGTTATATTTGTACTAGGAATGAGCACCATAAATCAATGATTGATTCATCAATCTTAAAATTCCCATTCCTAATTTGTACATGGAATGTAAAAACATGGATGAAACCTGAACACAAACGGTGTGGGTTTAAAGGATCTCATCTAAAAAGAACCATTTGATATTGAAGGGACAGTGGAACAGAAACGTGAACAGCACTCCACTCACAAATATTGTTTTTTTTTTTTCCTCTGAAACTGAAAAACAGATTCCACATGAAAAAACTCCTACTGCCATATCAGCTACCTACACCTGCAGAGACAAACAACAGTTAGAAAAACAAACAGGGACAGCAGGATCCTCACTTGGTGTCCAGTTTGGCCATTTCCTGAAGGTAAATCCCGATGCTCTCACTGTCAAACAGCACAAAGTAAATGTTCTTCAGAGAGGAGCTGGTGGACGACACAAAATGGTTGGAGATGGCCTTGAGGATGAGCTGGGCGGCCGTTTGCTTTGGAAAACCATTCCTGAGAGACAGAGACGGACTGTTAAAAGAGGACACTTGGAACGGGACGTACTCAGACACAAAGAGCAGAGGAACCGTGGGGAACAGGAACTACGAGCCCTCACGTCGTCATGACCACCACTCTGCTCCGCCACTTCACCAACACACCGGGTGACTGATTCTCTTGAGTCTGCTGAGACATGAAGCTCTGCTGATTCATGTGGGGGAGCAGGATGTTGGTTCATTCAGACACTTTGATTACATCTCTGCAACAACAGCAGTAAAAACACAGGAGACCCTGCAGAGGTCAGCGGTGATGAAAAATGTCTCACAATAATGTCACTGCTGATAAATCCCAAAGTCAAACTGGAAAACAAACGTGCAGCTCCAATGTGTCAACACTTCAGACGTTTCTTTTTCACACTCACTTTGATGTTTCAGTGTGTTTGTCCAGTTTGTATGGATGTCAGATATGTCTGAGCTCTGAAGCTGTAAACTTTGCCAAGACCTCTGACTCACACAGGATGAGCAGCTGGTAGACAGCAAAATACCTCCACTGAGTGAACTGGACAAACCTGAAATCTGCAGCCGAAGCCCGAATATGACAGAGATCATGACCTTCAGGAGTGAACCACAGCTGATTTTGGACGCTCTGTTCAGCTTTGAGAGTCTTGTGGTGGACTCCATCTGCTGTGAGCGCTTATAAACCACTGAGTTAACTGATATGAAACGGAGAATCTTGGAGGACAAAATGATCAGCTGAAAAGGCTTCAGAGTGGAAAGTGTCTCAGTAATTTGGTGCTTTTTGGCAGTACAGACTTTCCCCAGGACCCAGAACCCTTTTGAGGAACAGGGGTCTAGATTTAGCACTACCCTTTGATTAGTCCCTGCCCATGGTGGTGTACTTTCCAACGGTCCAGGAACTTTGGGGGGAGGGGTGGGGGGGGGGGGGGATCTGAACAAGATATCAGTGGGGTAAAAAAGGCCCTGAATTGACATCTAAAATTCAGACAGGACATGTGTTTGGGGGGGGAGGGGGGGGGGGTCACACAGGAGGAGTTCTTCCCTGAATGATAGGGATGCCCTAGGAGTTTTTGCAGGTCAATCTATCAATAAATCCTGTTGTTGACCGTTTCATTTACATGTAGGCACCAGCTGAGCTGAGAGAGGAGCGGGCAGGGACCCTGGTGTTTTGAATCATCAGCACAGCTCACCTGCTGCTAACAAAAGTTCAGCAGGAAATCAAGAGTTGTGTGCAAGACTTGATTCACCAAAGAACAGTCCTGGACTAACCTGCCCTCAGGACTTCAGGCTGTAGAAACCTTCACTTCCCTAAACGGAAGGTTCCCTGTACATTTGGACAAAATGTGCCTCATGGTGTTGTTATACTAAAAATGTTCAAACTGCTGTGGAGGGGTCCACTCTGATAGACCAAGTGGGTGATGTGACTCTGAGCGAGCTCACCGTCCAGCCGGAAGTGAAGGGAAAGCCACAGACTTCAGCTTCTTCTCCTCTGCAGCAGACAGACAGTTCTTCACCGTCTTCTCCAGCTGGTCCTCGCACTTCTCTGAACCCCACTGAGGGACGTTACAGTGGATGATGAAGCGGGCTGCCATCCCACTTGCCTGGCTCACCGCCACTGTGTGGCACAAAGATATAACACCACATATGTCAGATCATGACTTGAGCACAAGAGAAGACTGTTTTCTAAATGATTACCATCACACAGACTGTGAGAACAGAGGCAAACAAACCTCTCACACAACAACACCAGAGCTGCACTGCCCGCTCAAAAAAAAAAAAGCTCACCCACTCTAATATTTTGTTGGACCGTCTTAAGCTTTGCTTGCAGTACATATTCTCTGTGGCATTGTTTGGATAAGCTTCTGCAATGTAACAAGATTTATTTCCATCCAGTGTTGCATTAAATTTTCACCAAGATCTTGTTCTGATGATGGAAGAGTCTGATCACTGTGCAAAGCTTTCTTCACCACATCCCAAAGATTCTCAATGGGGTTAAGGTCTGGACTCTGGTGGTTAATCCATATGTGAAAATGATGTCTAATGCTCCCTGAACCACTCTTTCACAATTTGAGCCCGATGAATCCTGGCATTGTCATCTTGGAATTTGCCCAAATATACTGTATAACCTGGTCATTTAGTATATTCAGGTAGTCAGCTGACCTCATTCTTTGGGCACATAATGTTGCTGAACCTAGACCTGACCAACGGCAGCAACCACAGATCACAGCACTGCCCCCATGGTCTTGTACAGTAAGCACCAGGCATGATGGGTGCATCACTTCACCTACCTCTCTTCTTACCCTGATGCACTTGTCACTCTGGAACAAGGCTGATCTGGACTCATGAGACCACATGACCTTCTTCCATTGCTCCAGAGTCAAATCTTTATGCTTCCCAGTAAACTGAAGCCTTGTTTTTTTTCGTTTCTGCAATCTCCTTAGATATTTTCTCTGTATTGGTTTAATATTTGCTACCCTTGTTACTTTGCCTGTGTTTGTTCTTCAGTCTGCTGAGTAGATTCTTCCAGCCAAATATATAAAGATTAAACCATAAATTCAAGAGGGGTCTTTGGAAGACCATCAGTAATTCTTCTGCAGCACCTGTGGGCGTCAGTGCAGCACTGAGTGAGCTCCTTTCTCTGCCTTCAGCCTGAAGTAAATGTGTTGATAGTTGTCAAATAATAGATGTGGATTTCTGTTTTCAAACTGCACAAAGACTCTGAGTGTGACAGTCTGTACCTGATGCCACCTCCAAAGGCCCCTGTGCTTTCCGTAGCTCCTTGACTCCATCCAGGAACTCGCGGCCTCCAGCTTTTTCCAACGCGTTACCTGAAAACAGAGCAGCAGCAGGTGAGCTCTACATGAGGAGCTCTACAGTCTGTTCAGCTGTTTATGAGTGTCTTGCTCACCCACTCCATCTTTGAGGTCCATCTCTGCATTGGTGGGGTTTATGATCCCCTCCACTTTGATTGTTCCGATTTTGCTGATTTCGCTCTCTGTTAGTGAAAGCTGCACATTCAACAAGTTAAAAACACACAAAGAGAGAGGAAAAATCACAGCAGCTGGAGTCTTATTTGACTTTGACCACAGAGTAGATGCTGCAGATGGGACTGCCCTCCACCAATCACAGCTCTCTCTTACAATGAGGAAAATAAGTATTGAACGCGTCAATGTTTTTCTCTTTACATTTATTTCCAAAGATGCAATTCAAAGATAATTTCTGCCATCCACACATGAAAAGAAATCACAACATTTGAGTCCATAAATAATGACTATATGGAATTAAGTGCAATAACACAGTAAAAGATTAACACATTAAAGATTAAGACGTAAACAAAATAAAATAAATTTGTTATGTCCTTAGTGAATAGGCCTATTTGATAACCCTGCCCAGAAACACTGCCACAGAGCAGGAGCGCCGTTTTAACATTGCCCTCACGCACACGCGCCACTGTGGAGCGCTGCGTTTGATTCCTAAAAGGCAGCTGTCTCTGTCTTGGCCCAGCTGCGGGGATGTTGTTGTACACTTCTGAAAGGGTGTGGGACATCATTTGGGCCAGTACAGTTTTGCACAATGTTGCAGTGGCGAATGGAGTGCCATTGGCTGTGCCGGTGCAACATGAGGACCTGATGCCCGGAGAACAATAACGAGGAGAGACTCCACAATGGTGCTGTACAGAGGAGACAGGACCTTATTGATGGATTCTGAAATGCACAATATAAGTTTAGAAAGTGCTCTTGCTATTTATTCAGTGATAAAAATCCAATAGAAATCCATAAAAGTTGGCCTCAGTTTTGATGCTTCCAAAGAGAAAATCCTTGTTAGCACAGATGTTAGGATATCCACTTTCAGCTCGGAAAAGTTTTGAATCTTTGTAATATTTCTACTCTTTCATGTTTGACCTTAGTGGGCGAGGCTTCTGAACCATGAATATTTAAGGGCGTGAACATGTTAATGACGATCTATTTCAGCCGCCGCATTTATCAAGACCCGATCATACGTACGCTGGGATTGGTCAGATACGAACCCTTTCATAAATCTCATGTGTGTCCTATCGTAGGATGAATCCTGCACTCAGATCTGCGCAAGCTTGATAAATGAGGGCCATTGCCTTTAAATCTTGAATGTCTTTTGGTGCCCTCTGGTGAACCCTTTTCTTTAGTTCCTTCCACAAATGTTCAATTGGATTTATATCAGGAGATTGACTGGGCCATTCCAACAGATTAATTTTCTTTTTTTTAAACCATTTGAGAGTTAACTTTGCCGTGTGCTTTGAATCATTGTCCTGCAGGAAGTACCAGCCACGTCTCATCTTCATCATCCTGGTGGATGGCCACAGGTTCATATCAAGAATTTCCCGATACATGGCTCCATTCATTGCTCCTTCAATTATATGAAGTTTTCCAATACCACTAGATGAGAAACAACCCCATGCCATGATGCTTCCACCTCCTAATTTCACTGTTTGTATAGTGTTTTTTGGGTGATGTGCAGTGCCATTTCTTCTCCAAACATGGTGTGTAGTATGACAGCCGAAAAGTTCAATTTTGGTCTCGTCTGACCAGACAACATTCTCCCAGTATTCTACAGGCTTGTCAAGATGCTGTTTAGCAAACTTTAAACGAGATTCAACATGCTTTTTCTTGAGGAATGGAGTCTTGCGGGCTGAGCGTCCATAGAGGCCATGGCGGTGGAGTGCAATGCCAATAATTTTCTCTGTAACAATTGTACCTGCTACCTCCAAGTCTTTCTGGAGCGCTTTCAGGGTGGTCCTTGGCTCGTTGACTACTCTTCTGACCATCTTTCGTACTCACTGGTCAGAAATCTTGCGGGGAGCTCCTGAGTGGGCCTGTTGAAGGTAAGGTGGTGCTTCTTCCACTTGCGGATAATAGCCCCAACGGTGCTGACTGGAATATCAGGCGCTTTGATATAAGTCTGTAACCAGTTCCATTCTGATGCTGAGCAACAATCAGGTTGCGAATGTCTTCAGAGAACTCTTTGCCTTTACCCATCATGAGATGTGTCTTGTTTGACCTCTTGGTGACAAAACGACCTGTTTATAGGAACATCAATTTGCTCTAACCCAGCTGATGTTGGTTTTCACTAATTGGATGTACAAGTAATAATTACTAACAGATTTTAGGTGGTGTGGTGCATTTCTTTGCCAGAGTATACAGCCTTTTCATGGGGTGTTCAATACTTTTCCCCTGTGTTAGTGCACTTAATTCCACATAAACACTATTTATGGACTTGAACGTTGTGATTTCTTTTCATGTGTGGATTATTTGAATTAATACCAATGCCTCGCAGGAATTTCATTTGAATTGCATTTTTGGAAATAGATGTAAAGAGAAAAACATTGACACGTTCAATACTTATTTTCCCTATTGTATGCATTGGGGACATTTTCGGTCTAATTTGATCTTAAGGATATTCCTCATCACCAAACAGCCTCTCTGAGTCAAGTTAAAACATCTCACCTTTTGTCCGAGGAAGAGGCTCTTTGCTGACAGGATGGTGAATCCTTCTCCTGGACCATCTTCCACTGTGGAGTTTGGAACAGACTCGCCGTCTGCGCTCTTTGCAGGATGGAGAGGAAAAAAAGGCAGAAACAAGCTGTGATTGTAGACCTCAACACAAGGATCACTCAATCTCAAGGGTTCAGAGCATAGACTGTATATAGAATGGACGACGTCTGCCTCCTTGCTGGGTGAAGCCACTGCGAGAACAGCATCCTCTGTTGATGGGCTGCAGTATAGGTCATAAATCCCGCCTCCGCCAGCAAAGCTAATGGAACTGTGGACCAACTTTAGAAATTTATTACACAGAACATAAATTTTTCTCCCCCCTGCTTGCGATGTTGACATGTGGTTATTGTAACACTGGTTTGTGCTCAAGTCCTCTTTTTTCACGGAAGCTCAGTTTTTAAAAGTTATTAGGGGTTCATGTTTTCTATGATTGACACCTGATACAGCCTATGGGCGTTCAGGGATTGAGTAGCTCACCCGGGGGATACGCTGTTTGAGCCAAACGTCATCACAGCGACTCTCTGCGACTGCGCGGCCGAATGCGCGCATCGCTACTGCACAGCGCTGGTTTCAGGAAATTAAGAAAAATCCCGGAAATACCGAGAGCTTTTTGGCTTCAAATCTGTATACAGGCGGTAGGCGGAACAAAGATGTCCATAGTACAGTGGTTCAGAGACTCCGGTTTTATCTATCCTTGAAGGGTTACTCAGACCCTCTTCCAGGGGGGGTTGTCAGCAGTGGTGTCATGATCTGTGTTTTGTTGTATCCACTTCCTGTTTTATTTTGAAGATCCGGTTTTTCCTGTGTGACTGTTACTTTAACTTCCTGTCTTTGTTCTTTTTCCTGCCTTAGTTAATTACTCCATTGGTTTCACCTGTGTCTTGTCCCCTTTTCTATTTAACCCCTCCTCACTAGCTCTTCCCTGCCAGATTGTCTTCGTCACTTTTGTACAAGCTCTCTCGCGTTCTTAATATTTCTCTGCTCTCCATGTTTGACCTGTTTTGATCTCCTTAGAATTTCTGATTCTTGCCTGCCCCATTGGTTTTGTCGCCTGATTATTGCTGCCCTTTTGATTTTGACCCTGCCGGGTTTTTTCTGGATTAAAGAACTTGCCTTTTTGGAAACAGAACATTTGCCTCACGTCCTCTGCTTTTGGGTCCACACACCCTCGGCCCTTTCTGTACAATCTGGCCATGCCGGACCCAGCAGGTGAGGATTTTTGCCATGCTCTGGGGGCTCAGGGAAGACGTCTAACAGAGTTGGAGAGGGCAATTTCCAGCCTGGGCCCTGGAGTTCAGTCGTTGTCGTTGCGCAGCTGCAAGCCCTGGCAACCCAGACTAACCAGCTGATGGCTCGCCGTGATACTATGTCAACTGCCGCTTCGAGCCCTGACATCTCCACTCCACCTCCATTTCCCTCTGCTTCCCTGGATCACCAGTCTGAGCCGAGTGCACCCCTAATTGAGAGGTATGATGGAACTCCTGAGACTTGCCGCTCATTTTTGACTCTCTGCTTGCTAACCTTCAAGCCTCAGCCCATCACCTTCCGCACTGAACACTCTAAAGTGGCCTTCATGATCACCAAGCTCACCGGGCGGGCAAGAGAATGGGCCACTGCTGAGTGGCAGAGGGGTTCATCCGTTTGTGCCTCTGTTGACTCTTTTTCTGCTGCTTTGGCCCGTGTTTTTGGTCAACCTGTTCTGGGCCGGGAGACAGCCCGCACATTGGGTCGTCTCAGGCAAGGCAGTAACCGTGTTTTTGATCATGCCATCCGGTTCCGCACTTTGGCGGCTGAGAGTCGTTGGACACCTTTTTTTTTCTTGCTGACACCTTTTTTTTGAGGATTTAAAGGATAGACTGACCATGGTTGATCTCCCTACCAGTTTCGAAGCCCTTGTGGAACTAGCTATAAAGGTTGACAACCGGCGACATGAACGGGCAATGAGGGTCGGCTGAACCGGGGAGAGCATGGCTCTGCAACTGCCCTTGGATCCACACCTTATAGCCCCCCAGAGGAACCCATGCAGCTTGGTCGGACTCACCTAAGCCAAGAGGAGCGACATCGCCGCCAGCGTGAGGGACTCTGTCTCTACTGTGGGGAAACTGGCCACTTCTTAGCTCGGTGCCCGGTAAAAGACCAGGCTTATCGGTAACCAGAGGCCTACTGGTGAGCCACTCCGCAAACGCCTCTGCAACCACACGCGGCTTGACCCCAGTTCAGCTCATCACTTCTCCCGAGAATGTCCTGGATCTATCAGCTCTCATCGACTCTGGCGCTGACGAAAGTTTCATGAACCGGGACCTGGCCCGCCAGCTGGACCTGCAGCTCGAGTCTCTTCCTGAACAGACCCCTCCCCCGTATCTGCAGATATCAGGTAACCACAAAGAGACTATTTCATTCCTGATAGTTGATTCCCCCCGCTACCCTCTTATCCTGGGTTACTCCTGGTTGTGTAGACATAACCCTCTGATGGACTGGGCTACGAGCAGAGTGTTGGGATGGAGCCTAGCCTGCCAGTCATCCTGTCTGCTCTCTCTGCCTGTTTCCTCTAGGTCTGCTAATTCTTCTTTTGAGTTCCCAGACTTGTCCATGGTGCCAGAAGTCTACCTAGACATAAATGAGTTTTTTTCCAAGGGCCGGGCCACGTCCTTACCTCCACACCGCCCTTATGATTGTGCTATTGAGTTGCTTCCTGGAACAACGCCACCCAAGGGCCGTCTGTACTCCCTATCCGCTCCTGAGTGGTGGGCCATGGACAAATACATCCAGGAGGGGCTAGCGGCAGGGATCATCCGTCCTTCTTCCTCCCCTTCGGCCATGTATTGATTATCGTGGTCTGAGCGATATCACAGTGAAAAACCGCTACCCATTGCCACTCCTGTCATCTGCTTTTGAACTTCTTCAAAGGGCTCGTGTCTTCACCAAACTCGACCTGCGCAACGCCTACCATCTTGTTCGGATTCGTGAAGGAGACAAGTGGAAGACGACTTTCAACACCCCCAGTGGCCACTATGAGTATCTGGTAATGCCCTGAGCTTCATCACTCAGCGTTTCTGGTGGCCCTCCCTCAGGGAGGATACTTGTGAGTTTGTCTCTGCCTGTCCCGTCTGTGTCCGCAGCAAGGTCTCCCGAAACCCTCCTGCCGGTCTGCTTAGGCCCCTACCTGTTCCTCGCCACCGCTGGTCCCATGTGTCTCTGGACTTTGTCACAGGTTTGCCGCCCTCGGGGGGTAAGACTGTCATCCTGAATATTGTGGACCGTTTTTCCGAAATGGCTCATTTTGTCGCCCTGCCTAAATTGCCATCCGCCAGGGAGACAACGGAGGCAGTTTTATTTTATGTGTTTCGTCTCAATGGTATTCCTCAGGACATTGTGTCTGATCAGGGTCCCCAGTTTGCCTCACGTTTTTGGAAGGAGTTCTGCCAGCTGCTCGAAACGTCGGCCAGCCTCTCCTCAGGCTTCCACCCTCAAACGAATGGTCAGACGGAGAGGTGCAATCAGGAGATGGAGACAGCTCTCCGCTGCATCACCTCCCAGAGTCCTACCAATTGGTCGCAGCAGCTCCTCTGGGTGGAGTATGCCCACAACTCCCTCCCTGTGGCTTCTACTGGCCTGTCCCCATTCCAGTGTGTCTATGGGTACCAGCCCCCTCTTTTCCGGGACCTCGAGGGGGAGGTCACGGTTCCATCAGCTCACGCTTTGGTCCGCCGATGTCACCTCACCTGGAGGAGAGCCTGTGCAGCCCTTCTCCGCACCAATATTGGATATCAGAGGTCAGCCAACTGCCGTCGCTCCCAAGCTCCTCGCTACCACGTTGGTCAGAAGGTTTGGCTTTCCACCCGTGACCTGCTGGTTCGGGGGGAGTGTCGCAAGCTGGCTCCAAGGTTCGTGGGGCCCTTCCCCATCTTGGAGGTCATCAACCTTGCTGACATTCGCCTTCGCCTTCCTCGGACCATGTAGGTCCACCCCACCTTTCATGTGTCGCGGATCAAACCGTCAGGACAAGTCATCTGCTCCCACCGTCTGACCCGCCTCCACCACCCAGGTTCATTGATGGAGGCCCGGTTTATACCATGAATCGCCTGCTGGCTGTCCGTCGTAGGGGCAGGGGCCGCCAGTACCTCGTCGATTGGGAGGGGTACGGGCTCGAGGAGAGGTCCTGGGTCCCTGGGAAGGACATTCTCGACAAATCTTTAATCAAAGACTCTCAAAGACTTAATCCAGATGTCCTGGGGTCGTCTGGAGACGCCCCTTTGAGGGGGGGTACTGTCATGATCTGTGTTTTGTTGTATCCACTTCCTGTTTTATTTTGAAGATCCTGTTTTCCCTGTGTTACTGTTACTTTAACTTCCTGTCTTTGTTCTTTTTCCCGCCTTAGTTAATTACTCCATTGGTTTCACCTGTGTCTTGTCCCCTTTTCTATTTAACCCCTCCTTACTAGCTCTTCCCTGCCAGATTGTCTTCGTCACTTCTGTACAAGCTCTCTCGCGTTCTCGATATTTCTCTGCTCTCCGTGTTTGACCTGTTTTGATCTCCTTGGATTTCTGATTCTTGCCTGCCCCATTGGTTTTGTCGCCTGATTATTGCTGCCCTTTTGATTTCGACCCTGTCGGGTTTTTTCTGGATTAAAGAACTTGCCTTTTTGGAAACAGAACATTTGCCTCATGTCCTCTGCTTTTGGGTCCACACACCCTCGGCCCTTTACAAGTGGGTCCTTACACAGATTATTAGGGATGATAATGTTATTTAGAAAATTCCAGGGAAATTTTGATATGTGCCTGCCCGCTTGCCGATTCGCTGCTGCTTGCCACTGATTTACTCAAATCTAGGCCATGTTTTGGGTGGAGATACATGAGGGAATTAATGCGTTAAGGGCTACTTCTTGTTTGGGGATGGTGGGGTCATCCAAGATGGCTGCAGAGTGGGACATGTCTTCAGAGTGGGGTCACAAGGGGACATGTCAAATATGGTGCTGATATGTCAAGGCATTGATGATTTATGGCCTTTGTCACGAATCAGACTTGAAACTCAAGGCAATCCGGCTGTCTGTGTTGTGATGTCTGGAAGACAGCTGTCAATCAAGACCAGGTGGGCGGGCCCTGTGCACTTAGAATCATTTCCATGGTGACAGTGCACCTGCAGCTCTCCTGTGACACAGACTTTGCGTCACTGAGCTTCTGCCTGCTTAGAACAGGACTGGCCTAAACAAACTCACTTTGTAGGAAAACTGTAAGAGATATTGAAATGCGATTTTCATAGGTTGAAGGGTTCGGGTCTCATCTAAAGGTCGGAGTTCAAATCACATTTCTACCTCAAAGTATGACATTATAATCAAGCTCCAAATATGGAGACCACCCCATGTTTTCAGCAGCTCCATTCATGTTGAATAGGAATCTTGATATCTGACTAGTGCCCACAAAAGGCTTGTTGCTGACAAACTACATGTCGTATCGGAAAAAAACTCTGGGCTGTGAGCGACTGCTTGAATACAGCTATGACATATCAAAAGGACAAGTTGCTACGCTTTAAGGTTTAGACGGGAGCGCGAGTTGTTCGGACAAAATGAGCAACAGTCAGATGTGGAGCATTTGTGTTCTTTTTGAATGGCAGTGGATGGAGGTGAAACAGGTACCTCCTCCCAAACAAAACCTTGTAGCTTGAAAAGTGAGCGTCTCACAGCTTCTAGGTCCACATTTTCTGTCCGGCTGGTAGGTCTACTAGGTTTTGATGTATAATTTGTGTGAAAATTGTGGCCGTTGCAGTGATTTAGAAATTAAAAATCAGGATACATGTTCACTTCTCTTCACTCTAAGATTATGGGTCTTCACTGTAAAAACTAGAAAATCCTTGTTTGCACCCCTCGCTTGAACAGTTACTGTGGCCAAACCGTACCAGATATCGACCAGCCATCTACACTTTTGAAATCACAGGTCTAGTGTCAGGGTTTTGATGTTTTAATCATGCTTCTACGTCAAAGTATGGCGACAGGGTGAGGCGTCAAAGTCATGCGAAAAATAGATTTTTTTCTCGCCCTCTCCCATCCGCTTACATGGGGAAATTTTCATTGCTTTTTGGCATCTAGCGTCGCCATGGAGACAGTAACGATAGTGAAAAGTAATACCCACTGTTGCACGATGGAGACGCACGTTTTGATATACGCCGTGGCTGGATGCACCTTACCATTCGGGCCGCATTAATTGCAGAAGGTGCGTCTATAATAATAAAAAAAATCAACCCACTGTCTAGGATACTAATATACGCCTTGGCACGTAATACACACTCCTTTTTTTTTTTTTTTTTCCATCGCCGCCTTCCCATTTCAGCGGCGTATGCTCTGCATTTTAGGGCCATTACTGAGCCTGCCCATACGATAACAATATGTGCATGCCTTGCTTGCGACTTGGCAGGCACAAAGTAATGATCTAGTAAACGTGTTTATTTTCCAAAGCCTGCTGAGTACATCTGCACAGCCATGCGTGCGGAAACAGTCACACATGTCTCTTAGAGAAGCTTCAGTTTAGCCAGAAGTAGAAGTCATGCCTCCTTGCTGGCTGACGTATGAGCACTCTGTGAATACCCACTTTAAAAACCGAGGCGTTTCTGAAAACTCTGACATAAGTTTGAACACTTTTTAACACTGGTTTTACAATACCTTAAAGGGGTATTTTAGTGTTTTTAAAGTGAGACTGTGTGAGTGACATGTCACTAGTAAAAGCAACAGCCACAGTAGATGCCTGTCAGCTTGGCCCCTTTAATGAGAAACTGCAGGGAGAAACTGGACATGGGTTTACTGCAGATGGGGCAACTCTGCCATGTAATTTTGCTTATTTTGGGGGACTTAGCCTGAGCTGTTGTACACCCTACTCTGAAAATTTTCAGTCCTTTATGCTGACATTGTTTCATTTTGCACTATTTACAGATACAACACACACACACAGATGTGTTCTTCTGCCTACAGGTCTCAAAGGGATAAAACTCAGACCAGACTAAAAATAACAAAGATTCCCACAATGACATATCAACCACTGCAGACACACATGGACACCTCAGAGGAGGAGAAGGGTTCACTTAACACACTTAAGGTAAAAGCAGAGAGATTTCAACATTAACTGGAGAGCAGAAGTGATCCCAGGTCACCTGGTGGTTTAGGTGTTTAAACTGTGAGCTAATACCCACTGCCTGTCAGGAGTGGGACTTGGTACCAACAGCACCTCTGGATCATTCAAAAACCAAATCCAGCAGCAGTTCATACCAGGCTGCAGTCTGCACCCTCACCAACCAGAGTCCACTGCTGGACTGAAAGCACGTTCCGTTACCCACTTTCTTCAAGGTTCAGGAGTTCTATCAGAAAGGCTGAGAGTCTTCAGTCAGAGTTTAGCTCTCAGTGTTTTTACTGTCCACTGACTCGACCAATGGACCACAGGATCTGTTCACCTGATCCAAATACACAGAGTTAGCTGCTGAGGCTGGAATAACAAACTCTTCATACATCACTGCATCTGCAGACTGATCTGAAGCTTCTGCTGCTGAACATCATGCATGCTAAAGTATCTCCATTTACATCAAATCAGTGACTTGTACATCATGAACCCTATGAGCTGATCCCACTGCATGCGCAAGAGCATACCTGTGTGTGTGTGCAAAAATCTTAGGGCTTTCTGATGGTGAAGTAAAGGGCTGTAAAAATTCTCAGTAAAGTGAGCGCTTTAGCAGAGATGAGTTCAAAATGAGCTAAATGATGAGGTTGAATCAGCCCAAGACACTCACTTACAAAGACACTTGAATATCTCTTTTAACACGATTGTTTCCTGGTACCACATGCTGTGATACTAGTAGGGGTAAAATAAGGTTCATTGTTAGTGAGAAAATACTGATCACTGATAATTATTTAATTATTTAAATTGAACTTCCCCCAGCAAACTCATGGTTTCCTTTATCTTCTCATGATCATCTGCCTGAAGCCTGTGGATTTTTGCAGAGGGCTAAAGCTGATGAGATATGGTTTTATAAAAGCGATCATACTTCAGCCATTGTTTTGTCTGGTAGGTTCTGTCGCTGTATTCATGTGGACCCACCTTTGGCTTACGCCCTCTTTTGCCTTTGAGCTTTTTGAGGGATTTGACAGGTTTCTTGCTCTTGGAGCGCTCCTCCTTTTCTGGGACTGACGACTGGCTGTCCACTTTGACCCGGCCTCCCCTCTTCTTGGCTAGCAGCTCTGGGTGGATCCGAGGGAGGACTCCCCCATTTGAAATGGTGACACCCCTCAGGAGCTGATGGAGAAGATGTTTTACAAATTTAACTGTTTTATTGTTTCTTCAAATATGACATGTTTCATTTTCAGGTTTTTGTTATTCAGAAAAAATGAACTTTTTCACAATATTCAGTTGTTTTTATATCATTACTGCTGTTCTTAATAAAACAGTCAGAGGTGTACCAGATGACCAGATCCATCAGCAGCAGACAGAGAAGTGTCTCTGACTGATCAGCACTCTAACAGCGTGCGCACTTAAGGAGTATGTTGTAAGCTAATCTGTAAATGAACCCCGATAATTAATTTCCCCTGTGGACTTAAGCGTGTCAGAGCGCTGTCTTACCTGGTTGAGCTCTTCATCGTTGGCTATAGCCAGCTTGATATGCCTGGGAGTTATTCTGCCTTTCTTGTTGTCCCGCGCTGCGTTTCCTGCCAACTCCAAGATCTCAGCTGAGGAGAGAAAACACAGTCTGAAACTCTTTCCACACACAGTGTGTGTGTGTGTGTGCGTGTGTGTGTGTGTGTGTGTGTGTGTGTGTTCTGGTATTAAAACACATAAACTTTCTTCTATGAGTCTTGCAGCACATTAGGAGTGAAGACTTCAGCATTCAGTGTTTCGAACGGCATCTCTCAAACTGGATCAGTGTAGCAGGACCAGGACACAAATCAACGCGTACTGAAGTCTTTTTTCACACTTTTGCAATGTCTCCTTTTATGGGTCACAAACAGATCTACCACAAACTTTCCTGCCAAAAACTCCTTCATAACAGTGTCTGTAGATGCTCCAGCTATTAAAGAAGGCACAGGGCTCCCTGTGGAAAAATCTGGTTTTACTTGTCTGGTCCCCTGCATGCCCCAGTTGTGTCTTTTAATCAGTCATCCCATCATTCCTTCTGAGTATTTCTGTTGCAAAGACAGGCCTGTTAAAATTACTCTATTAAAATTGTCCATTTTTTGATGACGGTCTCGGTTGCTGTTGTGTATTATACAAAGACAGGAGTATGAATTTAAGTCTATTTCATTCATGTCTAAAAACTGCTCATAGAGGCTTTAATAATAATGATAATTATTCAACATTGTTTTGAAATCATCCTTCATATAGTCTACAGAAATCACTGACACTAGAACAGATTTACAGCATTTAAAACATATACTCAGACACAAACACTCAGTGCATGTACAGGTAGTAGTTGGACCTGTGCTTGAATCTCAGCTGTTTGAAGGGAATAAGGCAATCTCACCGTTGATCCTTTTGTGTCTGTTTCACAAACAGTTATGAAACTTTGAACTTGAAAAGTTCAGAATCAGTCTGTTACACCTGTGTTAGCATTTGCTCAAATGGAGGTTTTTCTTCATTAGGATCTCAGCTGTTACCAAGTGATCTCACCGGCTAAAGTGGTTCTTCTTCCTGCTGTTTTTACAAACTTCTATAGTTGGTAACGTCTTAGAGTTTAATGATTGCAAAGTGGAGAGTCAAATTCATTATCTGAAATCAAGAGTTATGTCATTTAAGCGTTTATACAACAAAACTATCAAGTTTCTTTGATAAACCTTTAAAAGTTCACCCGTTTTATGAATGTAAAATGAATTAAAATCAAAGTTCCCCTAATTGATCTGCACTCTTTCAGTATCCAGTACAACTTGCTAAGTTAAAAGAAAATACAATGGCCCTCATTTATCAAGCTTGCGTATGGCAGAAAATTTGCGTACACCTTGCGTACGTAAGTTGCGGCGTGAGGACCGGCATTTATCAATCTGCAAGTGAGCGTACGCTACGACCAAATCTCACGACAGGTCTGACATCGTGTACGCAAGTTTGAGTCAGTGTGGATCTGCGGTGCAGCAAATGTCTGTCTCAAAAAAATTTGATAAACAAACCTCAAACCTGTCATTAAGCACAATCAGTCAGATTTCATTAAAGATTAAGACGTAAATAAAATAAAATAAATTTGTTTTGTCCTTAGTAAATAGGCCTATTTGATAACCCTGCCCAGAAACACTGCCACAGAGCAGGAGCGCCGTTTTAACATTGCGCAAACATGCGCCACTGTGGAGCGCTGCGTTTGATTCCTAAAAGGCAGGTTGTTCTGTCTTGGCCCAGCAGCAGGGACAATCCTGTTGTACACTCCTGAAAGGGTGTGGGACATCATTTGGGCCAGTACAGTTTTGCACAATGTTGCACTGGCGAATGGAGTGCCATTGGCTGTGCCAGTGCAATGTGAGGACCCGATGCCCGGAGAACAATAACAAGGAGACACTCCACAAAGGTGCTGTACAGAGGAGACAGGACCTTATCGATGGATTCTGACATGTAAAATACAAGTTTAGAAAGTGCTCTTGCTATTTAATCAGTGATAAAAATCCAATAGAAATCTATAAAAATGTGCCTCAGGGGCAGCAACACACCGTTTGGTGATGTTAATAATTATTTTTGTTCAGCCTCTGTTAGACTCTCCAGCCTGCTCTACATTACAGACGCAACAAATTAAAACAAGATACTTTCAATAATAGGAGCAACGTACCCTATGTCATGACAATAAAAAAATATGAGGCATGTATGAGATATTAATTTATCATCATGAGCTACTTACTAATGATTTCTTCAAACTTCAGCCACTGTCGGCTATTCGGCGGCAGTGGTGTTCACCGCCACCATAATCCTGCTCCAGCCAGGAGTTTTCTTGACTGCTTTTATACCAGTTTTGATGCTTCCAAAGAGCAAATCCTTGTTAGTTTCCACCACAGATGTGAGGATATCCACTTTCAGCTCAGAAAAGTTTCGCATCTATGTAATATTTCTTTTTTTATTTTTTATTTTTTTTATTTTATTTTATTTGTGCAGTGTGACAATACAAGACACACAACATACAACAGCATTTGTGGTTTTGTGTGTGTGTGTGTGTGTGTGTGTGTGTGTGTGTGTGTGTGTGTGTGTGTGTGTGGTGTGTGTATTATATATGTAAATAATAATGAAAAAAAATATATATATATTACAATTGTCAGACAAGCAAAAGAAAATTATAATACACGAACAATATCAATAATAATAATAATAATAATAATGATAATAATAATAATAGTAATCATAACAATAATAATAATAATAATAAGAAGAAGAAGAAGAAGAAGAACAACAACAACAACAACATTCAATATTAATAAAGAAAAGCAATAGTAATAATATGGGTGGAGGGGGGGGTCTTGAAATTTGTGGACCACCTCGGGTCCCTTTCCACTCGCGCGAGACCTGCCTGGATCCCCCCCCCCCCCCAAACCCCCGAATGCCCCGGACTGAATGCGGCACAACACCTTGCCCTATGTCTATATATGTATTTATTCTGTGTTATTTACTTAATATACTTTATAATTATTTATTTATTTTTATTTATTTAATTATTATTATTATTATTAATATTATTATTATTATTATTATTATTATTATTATTATCATTATCATTATTCCCCTTTTTCTTTTTTTTTCCCTTTTAAATTTCTCTCATATATGTGTTTTCGAATGTTGTGCATTAAAACCGAGGAGAGGGGTTGTCCTGAACTATAATTTGATGTGATTGAGACCCCTTTCCTCTTCCTAATCTAGTGTGATGTGCAATAAAAAAAGGTGTTGTGCCATCTGAAGACAGTCCAGGGCGGAGAACTGAGGGAGGGGGGAGGCCGGGAGGGCAAGGAGATCACAGTATGGGAGGGCAAGGAGATCACATGTAATATTTCTTCCCTTTCATGTTCCTTTCATGACCTCAGTGGGCAAGGCTTCTGAACCACAAATATTTAAGGGCATGACATGTTAATAACGATGGATTTCAGCCGCCGCATTTATCAAGACCCGATCATACGTACGCTTGGATTGGTCAGATACAAACCCTTTCATAAATCTCACGTGTGTCCTATCGTACGATGAATCCTGCGCTCAGATCTGCGCTCAGTTCAACGCAAGATTGATAAATGAGGGCCAATATCACTGGGAAATGTGCTGCAACTAACAATTATTTTTGTTGTCGACTAATCTAGCGATTATTTTTTCGATTAATCACAACTATCTTCTTTATTTATAAACACCTATTTTAGACTAATGTTTAACGTAACTTACTTAAACCTTAAATCCTGTTGTACTCTGATAGCATGTTTTTGAACAAATATATTTAAAAAAATGACATAAAACATTTACCTGCAATATAGTTTATATATTTTTCAATGTAAAATACCACTTTGACCACAACAAAAATAATTAAACTGTACAAACTTAAAGTGCAAGGTAGTAAACAAAAACTCTTTATCAAGAAGTATATTTTTAAAAAAAGCTGCAGGTAGCCTGCCTTGCAAGTTGAGGAGGTAATTGGGTTTAAACCAACCAAGGAGTTGCTTTTACTTAAAGCAAATAAGCCCATAAAAGTAAAATACATAAATAAAACAAAAGATCAATTTTGACATTTTTTTTTTTTTTTTCTTGTAAAGTCGCAACTGTCAACAAAGCTTAAAGCCAACTTAACTAAGGGAAATATCATCTATTTTTTCTATTCAAATTGCAGTGCAGGAACGTAAGCATGTCAACATGCTTAGGTGAGGCGATATTTCCAGCTGCAGAGAAGAGACACTCAGATGGTGTAGAGGTAGCTGGAATGCACAAGAATGACTTGGCTAGTGATGCAAGGGTTGGATACTTTGCCTCATTTGACTTCCACCAAGAAAGGGGACTCTCAGTCTTTGAAAGAGGCTGCTGTCCGAAGTACATCAGTATCTGCCATGGGACAACAAATGAAAATAAGCATAATGAAGATTTGTGGAATGTTACAATAAATATTATCTTGCTAATTAAAAAGCACTATTATTCAATTAAATAAATCTTACCTCATTGGTGATAGACTGGTTGTTGTGAGCATCCTGTTCATTGGTCTCGGTGTCACTGTCTGTTGAGGAGTCACAGGCGAGCAGTGAATCTAGAGCTGAAAAAGTTCTCTCAGCTGAGGCAAGACTTTTGTCAGCCTCACTGGCATTTTTCTTCTCAGCCCCTTGGATGGATTGCAGGGCCAGAGCTTGGACTTTTTTTTGAACAGTGAACCTCTCCTCTGGGGTCAGAAATGTCAGTTTCCTAAATCGTGGATCTAAGGCTGCTGCAATGACCTGTGTGCATGGTTCATCACGCGTGACTGTGACCTCATTAGTCCAGCGTACAGTGGTCTCCTCTGAAGCAACTGCCTGAAAGGCCTGCACAGGAGCTGCATCATAGGTGGTGTGAGTGGACTTCAAAAGCCCTCTGACCAGAGGAGGGAGAGCAGAAACTGTCACATAACTTTCACCACTCAAGTAGACTGTGGCGCATTCAAAGGCTTTAAGAGCTTTAGCCAGTTCCTCTAGCAGGAGCCACTGATCTGCTTTCAGGTCAAGGTACTGTTTACCACTCTGCGTGACTGTTGGGTCAGACCTTGTTGCAGTCAGCGGCCATCTCTGTTCCAGCAAATGGGTGATCATGTAAAAGGTGCTGTTCCACCTGGTAGAGACATCTTGGATAAGTTTATGTTCTGGGGTCCCCATCTGTTTCTGTTTGGCCTTCAGCTTGCTTGAAGCCAGTTCACTTTTTCTGAAGTGCTCCACAAGACATCTTGCTGCTCCCAGTGTTTTCATGATCTGAGGGTGTTTTAGAGCACGACTGATCACCAACTGCAAAGTGTGACCTGCGCAGCGGATTGACGTCCACCCATGCTTTTCTTGCAGAATGTTTGCAGTCAGGACAATGTTGGAGCCATTGTCATGGACAACAGCCACGATATTGCTTGCAGAGATCTCAAACCTTGCCACAGCCTCCTAAATCCATGCAGCAATGTTTGGTCCAGTGTGACATTCTTCTAGTGGCATGGTTGTGAGACAGAGTGAGCTCCCAGTCATCACTTATGAAGTGACAAGTGATGCCAAGATATGCCTCTGTGGAAATGCTTGTCCAGGCATCAGCTGTGAGGGCAATCTTGTTCTTGTTTAATTTAAGATTTGCCTTTATGTCACTGACGGCAGTCTCATACTTTTCTTCAATCAGTTTGGTAAAATGAGTTCTGGATGGCAAGGTGTAGCCTGGATGAAAGGTCTGGATCATCTGCTTGAAGCCATCATCTTCAACCATGGATATTGGTCTCATGTCAGTTACTATCATGTTAAGGATGCTCTCTGTCAGGACTTCAGCCATTTGGGGGGTGTATGAACCTCTTTTCATGACAAACTCATCCACACGCCTCTGCTTAACACTACTAAAACAAAGAGAATAAAATGAGTTATATTACTTCACATTTCAAATTTAAATTTTTCAAAATTAAATACCTGAAACAAATTATCACAGATTTCTTAGTTGTGAAATGTCTTAGTCTTAAATATTGAACTAATATGCTCCAAATCACACAGTTGATAATTGCACAAGGTTTACAATTCAGTATAAACGCTAGTAGGCCTATCGCCTGTAATTCATTGATTACTGCCGTAAAATACGCATTAACGTAAGTGAATAGCGCTTGCTTAACAAGCTCCTCTCATGATTTCCCGACTGACTGATCTCCGACACACACATTGTATTTGCATCATAGGCTTGTAATTAATTAACAAATTAGCATGTCATTTTAAAATATCTACGAAGTATCAAAGTTATTTGTGAACTCACCTTTCTGCGGTACATGTTACGGCTCCGGGGTGTCTGCGTTTCAGGTGCTCATGCATCGCCGTGGTGCTGCCATGGTAGGAAAGCTGAGCTTTGCATAGCTTGCACTCAACGTGTTTTTTTGGTTTGTTCTCCGTAATCGTTCCCAAACTTTTGAAGTTTTGGGTCGGAGTTTTGGAGCGTCTTCTTCAGTTCGTTCTGCCAAAATGTGTGCATTCCTCTTCTGTGTTTGCGCCATAGGTTTGCTGTAAACAGCGAGCGCTACTGCCCCCAGCACATCCTGTAGTGCACTGCAGTTATAGATGAGCATGAGGCGCCGGCATGTGATTTTCAACAACGATAACACGACGCGTCGATGCTTAAGTTTTCGTGTCGATGAATTTTTGTTGTCGACTTAATCGATTACGTTGACTAATTGTCGCAGCCCTACTGGGAACCATGATGGCGCTGTGACAGGGTGCCTAAGTACCTCGTTCCGTTCCCACAGTCTTGTACACTACTGGTCAAAAGTTTTACAACACCCGAACTTTTTTAGAATTTCATTGAAAATCATGCATTTTAATGTCTCAGTGTACTCTGAAATTAATGCATAGAACAAATAAACAGTTGAAGTTCAAAAAGAAATCATAGACTAAATTCAGAAACAAAAATGTATTCTGAAGTTTGGACTCATCAAAGTAGCCACCCTTGGCAGACATAACAGCTGAACACACCCGTGGCATTATTTCTACAATGAAAATCAAATATTCTTCATAAAGTTAAGGTTCAGGGTGCCTTTCACCCTGGACAAATCACTGACCCTGGATCCAACAAAACAGCCCCAGACCATCACACTTCCTCCTCCATGTTTGACCGCTGACGTCACTCACTGAGGAACCATCCTTTTGCCTACTTGACAGCATGCAAAAATCCTGTGTGATGAACCAAAGATTTCAAATTTTGAGTCATCAGTCCATAACACCTCCTTCCAGTCTTCAGTAGTCCATTGGCGGTGTTTCATGGCCCAGGCAAGCCTCTTTTTCTTATTCTGAAGTCTCAGCAAGGGCTTTCTTACTGCAACTTGACCCATCAAACCTGCAACGCTAAGTCTTCTCTTCACAGTTGAAACTGAGACTTGCTTACTGAGACCTCTATTAAGCTGTGCTTGAAGCTGTTGTCCTGTGAGCTGCCTATAACGCAATCTGTTGACTCTCAGAAACTTGTCTTGTAATGCTTTTGTGGCTTTGGGTCTGCCAGACCCCTGTCTGTCAGTATTTCCCCCAGTTTCTGAGTGCCTTTTGATGGTAAAGGAAACTGTACTCACTGACTTTCTTGGCAATTTCTCTGTAGAAAAGACCTACATTTGAAGTGTTATGATGGTCTGTCTCTCTTCTATCATTAATTGCCTTTCCCTCGTCATTTTTGTAGTAACACACTACTTTCTGTAGTACACTGCTGTTCAAACAATGCTTAAAACGGTGTGGTATCACAGTGTGTTCCAACACTGCTTTTATGCAGACGGGGGATGTAAGTGATCAAGAAAAGTTGGCACACCTGTAGGAATTGGTAGCACCAACCTTCAAGTCTTGATCAACCTCCATTGCTGCAGAACTGCCTTAAGTTGTTAACCCATTTCTTGTTCCCTGAAAAAGGCCTTTTGTATAATTCTGAAATGTACATTGTTTTTCAGTTTTGGTTAGCCTTACCTTTTTTATTTACCTCTGGCAGTTCACAACTTTCATTTGTACTCTTTCAAGCTGTTAATTGGATTTGAACTGCCTGAATTAAAAAGATTTTTTTAAAAACTGGAAAAATTAGGGTGTTCTAAAACTTCTGACCAGCAGCGTATATATGAGGTAAATGTCTGAGCTTGTACATTTCATGTAATATTTCATGTTGAATTTTTGTACAGGGAGAGCAAAGTTTCCTTGTATGTGTGACATAGTTGGCGAATAAAGCTGATCCCAATTTTGAAAAAAAGACTAACTGCAACAATATGAATTCTTTTGGATGATATACGTTGCTGTTTAAATATCTAACTGTCAAGGTGTATTTAGTTTTACTGTTTCTGGTCGCTTCACTTTCTTTTAACAGCCCAGATCTTACCTTCAACACACGGGCCACCCTGAACTGAATAATACATTGTGATGATAACTTTCTATTGTCCTGAATCAACACCAAAAACCTCTCTGACTCTTGCTTTGTTTTAAAGCTACAGTTAGACACAGTTTAAAAATGCTCACTATAGCTTAAACAGTGGGATGTCACCCTACCTGCCAGATACTCGATGACTGCTGCCATGTAGACAGGCGCCCCCATACCGATGCGGTATTTGTGCGTGCCGGTGCGCAGGTACCTCATCATCCTCCCCACAGGGAAGATGACTCCTGCCCGGGCTGAGCGGGAGAGCTTGGTGGCCTTCTTCTTTCCTCCTCTGGCTGACATCCTGCTCTCTGACACAACACACAAGCACAGGGATTGAACTAAAACCACAGGTTCAACATTGAAGTGCATGCCTCTACATACAAAATAACATAAGTGTAGTCAAAGGGTCAGAAGTCATAGAGCAGAGACAGTTAGATGCCTCTACATCAGTTCATCCAGCTCCTCCGATGAATTGACTTCAGTTACTACAGGAGTTATTTTTACCGTCTCTCCAGAGTGTTCTACCAAACATGGAATTACACTTTTTCTGAAGCGCTGGACTGACCTTTACACAAACAAGAACAATAATAAAAAAACATGAAAATAACAGCAACAACAACACCGACAACAATCATTATAAAATAACAAAAACAGCAACAATAACAAAAATGACAATAAAAACAACAATAAAATAACAACAACAAAAACAACACCAATAACAGGCGTTGAAGGTTTCTTTTCCTTTAATTTGTCAAACTAGTGTCAGTGATTTACCTCAGTGGGTTAGAAGGAGAGTGTACCACAGGGACACCATCTCTTTTTGATGACATGCTTCAGGCTGGAGAATGGAAGGCACTGATTTATCAGCTGATATCATGCTTGTTGGCAGATATCAGCTGATACATGAAAAAATCTGTCATTTTTGCCTATCAACATAAAAGTCATCATCCACTGGTAACAATAGCTGACATTCAGTAAATCTGTAACATTGCATCAGTTTAATGCTTCCAAGCTTATAAGCTCCATTTAACCTGCTTTTGTTATTTGTTCACAGAATAAAAAGTATTTTGTTAGAGAAAATCACTAAAACTGAGCGATAGACCAAATTCCATTTGTAATTATTCATCACTGATATTATAGAGTCTATAGACTTATTGGGCTGTTTTATGGGCTCTGTGGGGTCTGCAGCTTCAGAGGTGTGTGCAGCAGTTATTTCCCCAAATAAAGTGTATTTAGTGAAATAGGAGGGAAGTGTAAACGAAAGGTTGCTCTTTCCCATGTAAATCTGCGCTCATTTTATTACAGTGTATGAAACAAAGCCTACAGCACTTAATTTATAAAAAATTACATTATTGGTACTGAAAGTGATAATCATCTAAACGGGACAAGATTTTCTCCAGGTGTCAAGTTTAATGATGAGTTCAACACTGATTTGTGACTGACAGACAACTTTGCATCATATTTATTTAGAAACAGAGGTCGCCTCCATAAATTCACACCGGGCAGCCATGATTTCTTCTCTTTCCCTTCAGCCGCGTGTTAACCGAGCAGGATGTACCGGAGGAAAGGTTAGCGCTCTCCCCCACCCGTCCCGGATTTCCATGTAAACAAGTCCCAGCAGTGAGCGCTGTGATAGGCTGCGGCCTGCAGCATACATACCCACTCTGGATGTATACACTAATTACCATAGGAACCCCTTTGAAGGTGGAGGAATACCGTGTGTGAGCGTTTGAGTGAAGTGTTCGGCGCATGAGCCGCTGAGTGGAAAAAGACGGGAATGTGACCGGGGCCATGAAGCCTGTCCACTGTACCGAACCGACTGGTACTGTCAGCCGACCCCGGGCTGTTCCCACGTAGCTACGCAGACGTTAAACTTGACTTCTCGATCATTTATAATGTGGAAATCAGTCTCACGGGGTCATTAAATCATTCAGATCCCACTGTTTGTTAGCTTTAATCTAGTAGGGAAATCCACAAAGCTAAGTGTTAATGTTAGCTAGGTTCAACCAGGTCGACATGGTTTCGCTAGCAGAATCCCTCAGTCCACACTCCCCGGCTTGTTCCGGTACAATAGAGACATTAACCACAACGACCCATTTCTTAAAACAAGCCCCCACCCGCCTCTTTGGTTTTCATGTAGCCTCCAATCCTCTTCATGTGTGTAATTACTACAGACATGGAAGTAAAGCGCCCCCGTCTATCCGGATATAAGCCCAGGCGTGAAAAAATGAAAACCTCTTCAAGTTTCTACCTGTTTTGTGCTCCTTTCACGCGAATCAGCGCGTGCCAGAGATGCTCCTGCACGGACCACGGAATCCCCCACGGTGAAAGACGACGCGCTTTGTTTTGGTGCTCTTTATTCGCTGTCCTTGTGCATAATCTTGCTTCCCAACCTCAGGAAAAAAAGCACGCAGGAACAGCGTAGTGTGGTCGGAGGCAGGGTCTGTGCTACTGATGCTGCTAAGGGGAAAAATTCAGTCGAACGCCCCCCTAACATGCCTTCAAGAGGGAAATGTTGGCGGGAGGGAAATGGAAGAGGAAATGCAGTGTGCTTAGAGAAATACAGGTAAAAACGGGTCTGAAGGCGGACTGAAGAGCCGGTCAGACTGCTTTCTGACCCATATGATTCCAGCTGCTAAAATCACGCCTATTGGTTTTGGTCTGTTTTTCATTATTATTATTATTATTATTATTATTATTATTATTATTATTATTATTATTATTATTATCATTCAATTCAAAGACTCCGCTGGACTCCAACTGCTGTAATAAGCATAAGTCCTCCTAACATTATCATCATAATGGTCCACGTTAATATTAGACCTGTCTGTCCGAAGTCATACATAGCTTTTCTTGCTCTTACTACTGCACTTTTGCAATCATTACCGGCAGCTTTAACTGTTTAATCAAGTGTTGGTGTTCAGTGTGTTGGTCTCAGTTCATCTCTTTTTTCTCCATCCTCCTCTAATCTGGCATGATGATGATGATGATGGCAATTGAGCAGTCTGGATCTGCTTCAGGTTTCCGCACATCAAAGGTCAATAGAATCCTTGCCGCCGTTAATTACTTAATGCAACCAAGAGTTATACTGATGGATCAGTGTTGAATCTCTGTGAATAAGGTAATATAAAAATGATGGTCTCTACCTGCAGAGTTCCTTGAGATAACATTTGTTTTGAGTTGCTGCCGTAGGTTACAAATACAAATTGATTGATCGGTGCATCTTGGCTTAATTGGTTGCAGGTTTGCCAAGCTAGGATGAAAAGGTGCGCCTAAATCAAGCCAGGTGTAGATAGTTGGAATAAGTGCGCATCCGCGTCATACTTAAAGAGACTACCAGATCGATCACAGAACAGATCACAGATGGAAAATTGATCGTACTTGCCAGTCGTATTTTCAGCAGTTAAGCAACAACTCCTTGTGGAGTTTTAGGAGGAAAAAAAGACGTGTTTAAAAAAAAAAAAAGGCAGCACAGCAGCGATTATTAAAGCACGGGAGAGAGCATGGCAGACAATTGCGGACCGGCTCAATACGAAGTCTGAAAAAAAAAAACAGTACAATGAATAAACAGCGCTCAACTGAAACTCCTAAAAATTACAATTAAAGGACCAACAGAGTTAGTGACTTTTCATTTGCACTAATGAACAGTTGTACACTTTCTATGTTGCAAGTATAGAATTGCATGTTACTCGGGGAAAAAAGTGCAAAGAATTATTCACATTGTGTGAGTGTGTTACCGGTTATCTATTTATCCAAAATGAATTTTGTTTGTCTATTTTATCTGTCCATCCTTCTCTAAGAACAAACTTCTCTGGACAGAAGAAGAACTGGCAGTAAGTAAATACCAATTGAAAGGATATTCTGCTGGCTGGTGAGTACCTTTAGTGTAGATAATAAACAAATGAGGTGACTAGATTAGGTGTCTGCTTACATATTGATTATCTGATTGTAGCAGTTAAAATAAAAGCCCACAAAACTGGCACGGGGTGGCCCACCAGCCCACCAAGCCAAGATTTGTCACCAGCAGAGGAGCTAGCACTGGACTTCAATAAAGGGAGGTCAGTGACAGAGAGGACCCAGGGATGGATGGCCACAGACTCTGGCCCTGCGACATAAACTGGCTGCTTTGTACAAGGTAGGCTGCACATAGAACACAATTAAATGAGTGTATTATACTGCTTGACTTTGGATTTCTTTGCAGTGTTTGGGGACACACTAGTACTTTTGAAGCCACCAGAGGATGATCTGGTTAGTACAGTACCATTTATTGAAATCAGCACTTTGGCCTGCTCTGTTAAATCTCTAGAAGGCTTGAGGTATCGTAAATTTTGTGGAAATATCCTGCTTATTTAGTCTATAATGGAAATAAAGTCAGTGAACTGGTGCGAATAAAATGCAGATTCAGCACAGCCTCAGAAACAGCCAGGTAACATTGAAAGTTCTGGCTTAAGTAAATCAAATTACCATCAAATTATGGCCAAACACTGCTGTTCTAATTTACATTTCTTTTTCAGAATTAACAGTCAGATCTCTCTATGCCAAGCTTCTTCAGAGACAGATTGAGTGGCAGAGGTCAAAATTAAACTGCAAAAGAGGAAGTTGCGAAAGACTGAGTCAGATTTGAAGATTGGACCTGGACCTTGAAACTAAACTGGAGAGTGAAGTCAGCAATTTAGTGCACACTAACATATCTGTAATTTGCAATACAGTGTATTAATCTTTATCACTTACGAATTCTAGGTTCCAAACAGAGAGAGCACTGCAAATTAAAAGTAATTGAACTAGAAAACATTGTAGAGTCTTTTTTTTCCACGAATGTGTGGTATACTATTGATTTGGTTACATTGAATTCAGAGGATAACCATGCTCTGTGATCTAATACCAGACAAAATGCTTGTACACAGCAAAAAGTAACACAAATGACCTTTTATAAAAGAGGCTAAAATCAAAATAAAGAAGCTAAATCCAAATATGTAGCCAGTGCCTGAAAACCTATACCTCTCAATTAGATGACCAATTCATTGAGAGGCAAATGGATCTGACACTCTTTCACAACAAAAAGCTTGTCTGAGGATAAGAGCTTCCTCATCAAGTACATCCTCCAAAAAAGGGCATGCCAATATGAGGTGGACATGGGTAAATGGGAGTTTGACATATACACTAAATTACCCTGGTTACAGACTTTACTGAAACCACCTTAACAACTTTTAAGCCACTTTTTAAATCAATTACTGCAATAATATATCAATCCAAACTCTCACAGCAATTTGACAGTCAGTCTGTAAGCAAAGCAATATAACACCAGACTTGACAGCACCACATGAATGAATAGTTGACTGTTTAAATGAACATTTGAAGACCATTGTAATTACAAACAGTAGACTTAAATTAAATGACAAATGATAATCTGTAATATTTTATTGCAGGATCATTGAAATGATGTACCGTATTTAGAAAAACATGGAAATGCTGTAAAACACATTAACTTCTCAAAAGATTGACAGTGAAACTACCAGATGAATCACTAGGATTAATCTCAGCTTGGTTGTTAGCCTGGTCTGGAGCAGGCTAGCTGCAGAGAATAAATCGTCGTGGTAACTTGACTGCATTAAACTTGAGCTGCTTTCAGGCAACCAACTTGAGGCTAAATTCAGCCAGGATAGCCAACATATTCCGACTTAATCCTTTATCTTGGTTTTGTGCAATACCACTCAGATTGTGGGAAGTAAATCACACAGATAATTTAGGCTGCCTGTTTGATGCATCCTAAGAGAAATCACAGGAGACAGATATAGTCTCAGCTGCTTACCAGTCAGATCACTTGACTTTATCTTTGATATGCCAAAGCAGATAGATCAGTAAAGGGGGGAAGCCAGCCAGATCCACTTTTTCAAGCATATGGTGCCTGTAATGCATTTCATAATGTTGCCAAACATGTGGAATAACAGTCTGAGCATGTCATTTGGAAAACAAGCACTGTATTTTGTACTCATATGTTTTCCCCAAATGATTAGGCATTTAATCTGTTTCAGTTTAGGCAAGTCATTGTATCTAATTGAAGACTTTATGAACCCACTGATTATTTAAACCTACAAAACATAAGTATTGACCATGCAAAAATATAAAAATACTCTGTGTGTATATATATATATATATATATATATATATGTATTTTTTTTTTTCTTTGTAATTGCTCTTGGGAGCCCCCTAGTGCCCGCAGGGCCCTGAACAGGCACTTACTTGCTTATGCCAGTGCATAGTTAGTTTGCTTAAAACCTGTGCCAATGCAAACAAACAGGCTAACTTGGTAAGATTGCGCTAGATTTGTCATTTACTTTTCCATCTGCAAGCAGTGTCAGAAAAAATAAACGAAATTATGTTTCTCCCAGTTTGAGACAGGAATTCATAAAAGAATAAAACAAACAGTGCAGAAAAACTTCTACTATATCTAAAACTGAATAATAAAACCTAAGACTAGTCATTAAAAAAGTACCCCCAGTTCAAACAATCTCTGAGGAGACTGGCGCTCAGAAATCTGATTGCCTGTGGGAGAAACTGTTCTGGCGCTCAGAAATCTGATTGCCTGTGGAAAGAAACTTCATTCTGTCTGTCTTTGCACCGATACTCCTGTATCTTCTGCCAGACGGCAGAAGGGAGATGAGGTTGTGAGAGGGATGCGTTGTGTCTTTGAGGATACCAGTGGCTCTCCTCAAACAGCGCTGCTGGTACATGTCTGCCAGGGATGGCAGCGTAGTGCCAATGATCTTCTCGGCTGTTCTCACAGTCCTGTGTAGCTTTTTTTTTCTCCTGGCTGTGCTGTTCCCGTACCAGGAGGTGAGACAGTAGGTGAGAAGGCTCTCGATGGTACCCCTGTAAAACATGGTCAGGGCTGAGATGGAGAGGTCAGCTTTCTTCAGCTGATGGAGGGGGTAGAGGCTCTGCTGAGCCTTTTTTGTGATGGCAGTGGTGTTGCTTCTAGAGGCCAGATTGTCTGTCAGCAGTACTCCCAGGAGTTTTGTGCTCGTTACCCTCTCCACAGCAGAGCCATCAATGTACATTGGATAGTGTGGTGGCCTGGTCCTGGTCCTAAAGTCCACAATCATCTCCTTTGTCTTCTCCGTGTTCAGGGCGAGATTGTGTGCTTTGCACCAAACTGCTAACTGCTCCACCTCCTCTCTGTAGGCAGCTTCCTTCTCATCAGTGATGAGGCCGACCACAGTCGTGTCATCAGCAAACATGGTTGCTTTTAAACCTGGCCGTGCAGTCGTGTATGAGGAGAGTGAACAGTAAAGGGCTTTTGAGGAGATGTTGCCAACTTTGACTGTTTGACTCCTCTGTGTCAGGAAGTCCAGGATCCAATTACAGGTGCCAGTATCCACATTCAAATCCTTCAGCTTGTCCACCAGCTGCTGCGATATGATGGTGTTGAAGGCAGAACTAAAGTCTATGAATAGGATCCTGGCATAGGTGTTTTTGTTTTCCAGATGCAACAGAGTGAAGTGGAGCATGGTGGAAATAGCATCCTCTGTAGACCGGTTTGGTCTGTAAGCAAACTGGTATGGATCCAGGTCGGCACTGAGGCCTGCTTTTGTGCGTTCCATGACAAGCCTCTTGAAGCATTTCATAACGACTGGAGTGAGGGCCACAGGACGATAATCGTTCATGCAGGTTGGGCTAGGTTTTTTGGGCACAGGTATGATGGTGGCGCTCTTCCAACAGGCAGGTACTCTGGTTTGTCTAAGGGAGGTGTTGTAAATGTCTGTGAAAACATCTTTAAGTTGCTCTGCACAGTCTTTCAGCACCCGTCCTGGTAGGTTGTCTGGTCCAGTGGCCTCTTGAGGGTTAATGTTGGAAAATACCCTCTTAACCTCTGTGGTGGATAGCTGGGGTACCTGATCTGTGGATGAAGATAGAAATCTCTGAGCCTCCCTGTCATTTGTGGCCTAAAACCGTGTGTAGACAGCATTTAGGTTGTCAGGAAGAGATGGGTCAGTGGGGACTGGCTGTGGAGCAGGCTTATAGCCTGTGATGGTGTGGAACCCCTGCCACAGCTGCCGAGTGTCTTTGTTGTCATTAAATTAACTTGCCAAGCTCTTCCCATATAGACCTTTTGCCTCTTTAATGCCTCTATCCAGGTCATTTCTCGCCTTCCTATAGGCCACTGGATCACCAGATCGAAAGGCAGCATCCCTGGCCCTCAGTAGTAGGCGTGTCTTCCTGGTCAGCCATGGTTTTTGGTTGGCACGTACTTTAATCGTCTTTTTTACGGTCACATCATCCATGCACTTGGTTATATAACCTGTTACAGACTCTGTATATTCCTGTAAATCTGTGACGCCCTCACATGTTGCTGCTTCTTTGAAAAAGTCCCATAGTGTGCAGTCAAAGCATCCCTGCAATTTTTCCGTAGCCCCTCTTGGCCATATTCTGATCTCCTTTGTGACTGGAAGTTCCTCCTTCACCCTTGGCTTATAGGTGGGCATCAGTATCATAATCAGATGGTCAGAACCTCCAATATGCACAAGAGGGGTTGCTCTATAAGCATTTTTTATGTTAGTGTACACCCTGTCCAAGGTGTTCTTCCCCCTTGTTGCACACTTGACATGCTGATAGAACTTTGGCAGGACAGATTTTAAATTCGCCTAGTTAAAATCTCCCCCCACCAAATAAAAAGCATCAGGATGGGCCAGTTGCAACTCACTGATTGCACTGTACAACTTACTCATCGCATCCTTCACATTTGCACTGGGTGGCACATAAACAGCAACAATAAAAGCAGCGGTCAACTCTCGTGGCATGTAAAAGGGGCGGCATTTTAAAATCAAGTATTCCACATTCGCAGAATGAAAACTATCTTGTGACGTCTGTGACAGTGAGGCGTTGTTGGTGTACACAGCCATGCCTCCTCCTGTTCCTTTCCCCGTGGATGCGGCTGATCTATCTGCTCTGTACAGTGTCAGTCCTGTCAACTCAACAGCACCATCTGTGATGTTATCCGTCAGAAACGTCTCTGTAAAAATGAAGACGAAATGAAGAGACAGCAGTCTCCGCGCTTCCCTCTCTTCCTTGCCCTGTCACACCACTTGCGAGTTCCCCTCACAGTGCCTGCAGACGGAGCCGCTCGCTCGGCGGCGTTGGTGTGGTCCATTGTGGTTCGTTGGTGTTGGTGTAACAGACCGAGCGTGCTCAGCAGCTCTTTTAGTTCATTTAGAACTATCGGTTGGTGGTTACCACACTGTTTTCTAATGTCTAATAAGAACTGCTGACTGTAGCTAAACTTGGCCTGAACTGTCAAGTTGTCTAATCCCCTATTTCGCACTGTCTGTCTGTTTGTCTGTCTCCAGGAGGAGTGGCCGCAGCAAGCGTCGGTCACGCCGCCATGTTTCCCATGTTGCAACTGTCCCAGGGATGGGGTCGGTTGCAACAGTTGACTTTTTTTGAATGAATGAATGAATATTGTGAAAAATCTGTCTGATGTAATCCTAGTTAAATTGTATGGGGAATTAGAGGACAGATGTAAATTTACTATATGAATAAATGGTTTGCCTAGTCCAAAACATCTCTGAGCAATTAAGAGAAAAGCAAAGCACAGGTAGAGAAAGCACTGTGCAAAATACAATAATTAAAAACTAGAGACCCCTTATGACACTCAACTGCAAAATTTGGGAGTTGGAGGGTCCCTACCTCTACCTACGACTATAGCGCTGGCGCTATGTTTCCATGCATGGAGTGTTATTACCGTAACTGCGTCAAAAGAGTTGTGGGCATGCACACTTATGTGATTTACTACGGTAGTCGTAACCATGTGAGGTAGGCAGTCATTGCAAAACACAGGAAGTATCAGCAGAGTGCTCCCAGCTTCTCACGA